TATCAGATAACATTTTAATGATATCTTCAAAATAACAATAATAATACTAATATTTGCTTATGAGATAATGGAACATGTAATCTAGGTAAGTTGTGATGTACCTTGGTTTATTTAACGTGACCCATTTGGATGAACATTTAGTTTGCTTTCCGTATTTTACTACTACAAATCTTGTCTCAATGATTAGTTTTATGATTGTTTCTTCTTGCTATCATTTTATGTTGGGGAGAGTTCTAGATGCAAGATTGAAGAGTAAAGAACTTTATAAGGACTTATATTATTCTATACTTGTATTTGTAGACTCTCCAAAAAATGCTTGAATGTCAGAAAGGTATCTATTAAAGGTCCTCATGTAACGTTGTAGAATGTTACTAAGTCCTCAACTGAAGACAGTACCAGTTTGTAATTCCATTAGCATTTATCAGCATCCTGTTGCCCCATATATCTACCAAGAGAGTACGAGGTCAGCTTTACTTTTTAGTCATGTGATTGATTGGTGAAGAATGGTTTGATGAAGTTATATTGTATTGCCGCCTTATTATCACTAAGGTTGACATGTTTAAGGAGTCATACAATTTTTTTTGCTATAACCTGTTAATATTTTTTCCTATTATTTTTTCTCACAAAATGTTGGTTTCTGTCTTTTCCCCTTCTCTTTGTATCTTTTTAATACAGTGGGGTATAAACATAGGTTGCCTGTGTATTTTCCCAGTTTGTTTAAAGTTGATGGATGTTGTTTTTGTTGCTAGCTAAATTTTTTCCTCAATTTTTATATGATCACATTTTAAAATTTTACTGCTTCCTTGTTTTGTCATATTAAGGAACGTTTTCTCTCAAAATATAAAGAAATGTACTTTTTTTTTGCTCTAGAATTTGTTATTCACACTCAGTCGTTCAGTCTTTTTGAAAGTTATTCTGCTATATGTTTGAGGAACAGGTCTAATCTGATTTTTGTATATGGCTATTTAGTTATTCTAACATCTGTTAAAAATAGACTATAAGTTGTCTGGATATCACCATTCTCTACTTGAAATTACAGACTCTCAAAAAGTGCTTGAATGACTGAAAGATCTCTAAAAAATCTTTTAGTACAGTCATTTCATTACAATTGTAATTATTATTTATAACTCTAGGAAATAATTAGATATTTTGAGTTCGTCTAGATTTAGTGATCATAGTGATTATTTGCTAGATATACAAGCTATACTACAAGTAGTTCTGATATGAAGTTCTATTAGTTTATTACTCACTTTATTTTTCACTGATTATAAACCAATATTTACAAAACTACAGAAAAATATGAAGAAAAATTTCCATTATTTCATTTTCCAGAAATCACCATCTTTTTGTGTATTTATTAACTTTTCCCCCTTGTATGTGTATGATAGTGGAATACTATTTTATTTCAGTATTTTATTTTGTTACTTATTTAAATATATTAAATTACTTTGATTTTTCTCTATGAAAGTACTCTTGTGATTTATTCATTAACTTATGTTGATTTTGTGATTTTCCTTGTATATTGATTGTATAATAGGTCATTATATATATGACTTAATACTACAATCTTTTGACTGATATTCTGAGTTTTATTTAAGTCAGTTGCTCAAAAATATTTCTCTTATGAAATTACTCAGTTTAAGAATCACTGATGGTCGATCTCTAAAAAGGAAATAATGGATGCTCTTTTTCAAATGATCTCTGACATGAATTTTTTCAAATGAAGCATAAAAGTGCAGTCACTATTAAAGTGAAGGCAGAACTGCAGAATACTGCTACCTTGTTTTGCTAATTACTGCAGAGACCCCTGAGATTGATTGTTTGAAAGCTGTTGCTAAATCATAAGACAGTGTGTAATGATGGGCTAAGAGCACATTCTTCTACTCTTTTATCTGGCACTTAAGGTTTTTATTAATTTTTATGGTGATTTCTTCTAGTGTTGATTTCCTAATGGTACATTTTAAAATAACTGGGCCAGAGGTGCAGGGGCGGTGAGAGGATTCATTAGAGCCAGAGTGGGGAGCAGAACAGGTTGACTGACGAAGTATATGGCTGAGGGGAGCAGTGTACGGGTCAGGAGAGGTCTGCTGTGCCTTGTGGGTCACCTGCGGGGTGAGGGTCGAGCTCATGCTGAAGTGGCTTTAGCTTCTGAGTGCTGTGCTTTAACCTGCTGCACCACCAGGGAGGGCCACTTTTTTTTTTTTTTTAATCATAGTTGGAAACAAGGTCTTTAAAGTTCGTTTGAAGAAATTTCTTATGGTATTGCTATAATGTGATTTTTATGAACTTTTTTCAAAATTGTTGTATATTAGAGAATTTTCCTTGCCTTCAGTGTCACTTGTTATTTTCGTTACCTATATTCAAATACATGTTTATAATAGCAGTTTAGTTATAGTGAAACATTATTATGTTGTATATATTAGTATCTGTTAAATATGTAATTAAATTCTCATTTACAAAAATGAAAGCATGAGTTTAACATTTTCATGTGATGTTATAACTTTCTGTTATATAATATTTTGTGGTGAGGTTGTTTTTATTTTCATTTTTGTGTGTCTGGGATTTTGTCTTAAGTCAGACTCAAAGTTAAATTGTAGGATTGAACTAGACATTGAAATAATTCGATTAATAAACAGACTGAGGCGATTGCTTTAGCTTTAGATGTCCTTTTGTTCAGAGTCTCGTTATAAAGGGAGAGGAGTCAATTCCTGTAGATAGAGTAATGCTTTCCTTATTCCTGGCAAGTTGTATGTAGAAAGTAGTTAGATCATTATATCATGATTGGAGGAGACTATTTGTACATGAGTGTACATGGAATGTACATTGACAGATTGCATTCTCTAGTTTAAATTTTTTTTCATAACCTGTCTTCTAAGAGATGTGATATATTTATGTTATGTGAAATATGTTGGAGTTTATATCCAGGAAAGATGTCGCCATAGATTCCTTGTATCTACATTAATAGTAAATTTTGTTATTGTGCAGTAAAAATTGAAAAGGGGGGAAAACACTAGAAAACCACCAAGTGGAATCAACTGTATAAAGAACCCCACCTTATCACAAAATAGTAGGTGACTAGCCAGTAGAGACTGTGAGTACAATGCCACTTTTGTCTATTAAAAGTGATCAATTATGCTTCAAAAGAAGTGGCACCTTTTATAATTTCTAAATGCTACCTGCCTGTTTACAGCCATGAATCAGTGGCCAAAAGAATATTCTTACTCCTTTGTGTAAGCATTAAGCAGTAATGCTTACACTTTTCAAAGGTCTAACCATCAGACATCAACAACTGAAAAGGGGGGGTGGGTGGGACTAGAGATCACAGGTTTCCTCTTTTTTCTCTTCTCTTTTTTTTTTTTGTATTAAATATCACTTGACCCTCCAGTATGTGGTAGTGGTTATAAAGCCCTAAGGCCCTGGCAAAAGATGAAAAATAACCAGGGAATAAGTGAATAGAAGACAGGCCATTTTTTTGCTTAGCTTTTAGATCTTTTTCTAGATATCATATGTGCAGTACATGGTGGAATTGGATAATGGTTAAGAACGTGGTCTTTGAAATGGAGCCTTGCTGCTTTACTAGCTCTGTGATCTTCAATATTTAACCTCTTGTATGAATCTTTATCTCCTGGTTTTTAGTGTTAATTATAAGGACTATACACTGTCACATTTGTAAAGCACTTTGACACACTACCAGGCACACAGTGTATCTCATTCAGCAATGCACTGGTTTCTCCTGGTGGTATTAATTTTTATAGGGGCTGCTGTTGGAAATTGATAATGATGAGATATCATGTATGATTATGATCAATACAAGAAACTCATTACCTATAATCTTGATCAATGTAAGTTACTGAAGGAACTGAAAGTTTGGTTTTTCTAATTTCTGAAGTAGCTATTAAACTATACTTTAAGCATAAAGATTACATGGTCAGTGTTCTTATTTTTTTCTTTGACCAAATATAACACTATCTTTTAAAATTATATTTTCATGTACAATAAAAATTATGCACTACTGGACATGAATAAGGTACCTGGCGAGATGTTTAATTAAATGTTGGCAAATTTCATGAAGAAGTCAGCTTGTGTATTGTGTTGAGAGTGGAAGGTCGAACAAATTAATAGTATTTTAAGATAAAGAATTTTAGCAGTACTAGAAACCTTGTTTGATCCATTGCTCTTTAAGAACTTGAATATTACTACCTTCATCCCATTACCATTAGTTTCCAAGATAGTATTATTTAGGGATATAGAAATTATTTTAAATTGATGTCTGATATAGATGTAGTTTTGTTGTCTGTTTTGAAATTTGTTTTCACAAGTCAAATTTTTATGCTTTAATTTTTTCCAGAAGTAAAAGTCTTCCAAAGAACCTGTACGGTAATAATGATTTGGACAGAGAGAATTTGGGTTCTGTTTCTTTGTGCATACTTGTGTATGTATATACACATACACACCTACACGAATGTCTCAGAGAATTACCCATTACTGAGGGGAGATTGCTTTTGTCTTTCATCAGACTTACCTAATTTGGTATTATTCTCCTGTGTGATTTTTTTTTTAATTTTGTAATGCTATTTAGTCTTTCTGTAATCATGTAAAGTGAATTAAGTGAAAATGAGCTTAAATCAAGAATGGGGTATATTTTATAGCTCAGTTCTCAGAATTACTTTAAGTCGAATAAAACACTTAAAAGACTGATGTAAAAATGGGAGATAAACTGAGTGTAAATAGAATTCAGCATACTAAGTTATAGATGCTTAAACCTTTCTGTGAGTCTATAAACTTTAACAAATGTTACAATTTTATTTTGGTGCAGTTATTTCTCAGAATCTGAGCTAAAGATGATTGCTGTTAGAGTAAGTAACATCTTGATTTAATTAACTAAAATAAAATTACATTTAAAGTTAATGGGTTAGTATTTCTTGAATTTAAAATTTGTGGTAACAAAAATTACTGTGAAACAAAAATTACTGTGAAAATATTTGTACTGTAACACTCAGTAAAGCCTTTTGTTTACCTTTTTTATTAAAAACTTGATAAAAGTGCATTGTCACATTGTTCTAGAATCAAGTGTTCATCAGACATTTGTATTTTTACCCCCATCCTTCCCAAAAAGGGTTTTAATTGGTGATGCAGGGTATTTGTCATCCACCAAATTAAAAACTGCAGGTTTGTAAACTTGGCACTCAGGAGAAAGAAATAGGTGCCATAAAATGATTAAGTATTGGCATGTGTACACCTGCTGTCAGGAAATAAACTTCCCATATGTTGCAGTTTGGCAGACATGCATCTTAAAAATACGTTGAATGAAAACTGCTGCTGCTGCATTCATTCTATCCCTTACTTTTTTTTCAACATTACATTTTCCTTGTGCCTGTAAGTAACACTTTTGCTTCTGTTATATTTTATAGATACACTTGAAGCTAAGTGGCAGTAGTCTTTTAAGAGGGCAGTTAGTGATCTAATTGAATAACTCATTGAAAAGACTGGGTTGGCCTTGCCACCAATTCAGAGGCAAGATACATATTTTTTAAACTTTCTTTGTAAAACTTGACCCTAAGACACATTGATTTTTTTTCACATTTTATCACATCATGTCAAAATAATTTCCCCCAATATATGTGAGTATTAATAAAATGTCAGTTTGCATTTAAAAAGTAAATACTTGGATGAGAATTGCATTGATGAAACGCCTGAACTTTATAAATGTGTTTATGGAACAATTCAACTAAGTCTTATTGCCTGAAATATAGTTTTTATAACCCTAGAATAGTCAGGTCAGAAAATTTGTCCTTTGTACAATCACAAAGTTCCCTAAAATTGACAGTAATGTTTTATTTACATTTAATTGTATACTGAAAACTGAATATAAGATGAAGGATCTTTTCACAGTTTTTCTTAAATTGAAACTGCACCTGGAAAATAGAAGCAAATACATTTTATTGGCTTCTAACATAAGACTCGAACCATTGATGTATGCATGCTTATTATTGCATGTTATTACACAGAATCCTCTTTTACAGTTTTTTGATAATTCTTTTGGGACACCTTTTTGTTCTATAATGTAGTTTAAGAATTTCCTTCAGATACTAAAAAAATATTTTTGAATCACTTTATGTGATGAGTTTTAACTGAAACTTGTCCTATGGATGTAATCAGTTTTAACTATCATGCTTTTAGCATTATGTTACAGATTGCACATTTGAAAACAAAGTGTCTTTTTTCTAGTGTAGTTTTCGGTGGCGATACCTGCCTGCCTTTTCTTTTGCTGCGTTGGCACAGGCATTGTGCTTATTTTGTTGTAAATGGTTCCAGTATTTTATCAGTTCACTAGGCTGGAACTGATGAGAGGTAATTAGGTGGCTGTATTTACAGCTTGAATAAGAAACTCGCCAGTGATTGAACACAAACTCATTGGGAGGGGGCACAGGATCAATTCTCAGCTTGGCAAGACAGATCCCCACATACACATCTTCCAAGTGCAAACGACGGATACTTAAAGAAACTTTAAATATCTTCTCTGCCAGATCTCCAGAAAAAACATAACCAGTTCCAGAGCAGAAGACAGGGTAGCGCTCACTTGGGTAGAGGTCTGGTGGCATGTACCACTTGCTGTCTTTGTTTCGATTGGGTGCATATCCTCTCATTAGGTAACCAGTAAAATAGTTATGTCTGGGAGGCAAGTCTGGCTTCAGTAATTTATGTATTAAATATTCAGTGTTGACAAACATATCACTGTCAGTTTTCATAACATACGGAATATGTGGACAGTATGTTGCAACCCAGTTCATGCCCATTAGTGTTTTAATGGTCAAATTATAGTATGTATCTAAGTATTCCTGTTGAATTATGTCATGATATTGCTTGCTTTCTTCCAGTATTGCACGTTGAAGGTAGCCATTTAACTTAATACTTACACCCAGCAAAAATATGCGTGTGATTTGGATACCAGGTGCTAGACTTTCATTGCCCCAAGTTTGCCGAATAGCTCTTCTAGCTTCTATTTGTCCAGGTTCTGCAGCTATGAGTAGTATCAAAAAAGGGCTTTTCTCCTGGCATTTTTCAGGTTCATTGATAATGTATTTGAAGTGGTAAGAATTTGGATGTCCGGTACCTTTTTCATTGTAAATGCTTCCATTGGCACTAAGGGTGTTCTCTAGTCCTGTAACTCCTTGTAGTGACATGTCCGTGTTATTGGAGTTAGTTGCTATTTGAGGCCTCATAGTTTGAGGGACTGTTTCTTTCCAAATATTCCGAAGAGAACTGTGGTTTGTCTCACTTTTTGTAGAACGAAATCCTCGGAAACTGTATGTCACTGGGTTTTCTTTAAATCCAGCTTTTCCTGGCAGCCAATCATGATGATTGAAAAACAAAAACATAGCGAAAAGAAACACTAGTGATACTATGCCAATAAGATGGGTACGGAACAGAGACCTCTTGGTATTCCAGCTCATCTTTGCAAAGCAGCAGTGTCTTCTCCTCCACTGAAGCATGTTGTAAATATCCAGCAATGGGGTATGAGATACTGGTGGTTGAAAATGTTTTCTTCTCCCAAATCAATACTGTTCTTTGGTAATCATTTTCTAATTTGGTCACGTTGTTTTCCTTGAAGTCTTTCTATAAAGACAAAGCATAAAAGTTTATAGAATGCTAAACATTTATAGAATGGCCTGAAAGAGACTTTGGATGCTAATAAAGTTAAGGTAATAGGAGTTTATATGAGGGAAAATATGATCTGGAAACAGAATTCATAGTTTGTTTCCCATTTGCAGCATACCAGCATCCCAGAAAGTAGGTTTTATTTCTTTTTTTTTTTTTTAAAGTACTTTCATTACCACAGCTAGTGCTTTAAACAAGAGATGTTGTATTAATATTCTACCACTTACTCCACTCCCTCTTCTACCACTTACTTCTCTTCCTCTGGTCATTTGTACTTTTGACCCAAATTTAAAATTTTACAGTTTTGTGCATGTAGAAGAGAATAATGTTACTAGATTTCTGTGAGAGGCCATGTAAAAGGCCTGAGAGCAGATGGAAATTTATTGTCACTAATTAAAATTGATTTGACATACCATTGATGGTATGGTGCACAGTCAGCGGCCTTTTTTGTAAAATGGTCATGTATCAATTGTGGGACAGACGGTGCAAGGTTGATTATGGCAGAGTTCTGTTAGTCACAGTACACTGCTTGGCATGTTTCCACTGGCCCCCACTGTGTTGAGAAAGTCAATGAGAAGATGCACCTGTCAAAATTAATTTTCAGGGTCCAGTAACTTCAGTGCAGGATTTTAAGACAGTAATAAATGATGAATATTCTCAAGTAGTTTTCTAATTTTAATCTTCCACTTCAGATGTTATTCAGGAGAACATTGTCCTTTCTTAAAGTTAAGAAATTTTATAATGTAGTGAATAATTGTTTTTAATTATCTGTAACCTTGGAAAAGCTCTCACATATCTCAGTTGAGTCTTCATGTTAGAATTAAACAAAGCGATACTTGAACAGTCTTCTATGTACCTTACAAAATACAGCCACAAGGTACTATCATAACTAGTTAGTTAAACATTTAAATTTCACAGAGTACATTTTAAAGATTGTTGCTGTGTTCTGAATTTATTTTATGTATAATTTACTATGTTTTAAAGACATTATCCAATATCACATGTTTGAGCCCTAGAGTTTTAAAAAGATTAGAGATCCCAGTATGGGAGGCTCCTCATGCTGATTGGGTTAATGTTTGAAAAAGGTGAAGTGCATAGCACAGACATGTTAATGGCTTATAGGTCTTAGTTATTTTTTGGACAGAGGAGTGGGGAATAGAAAAACTTTTGGGAAGGAGGCTAATGTGTAATTTTAATTATTTCAATGTTCTGCAAACAAAGGTAAGAAAATAAAACCAGTTCAAAATGCACATAAAGTAGAAACATTTGTTTACTTTAAGTTATGCATCTGTACCTCTGTTAAGCCTAAATATTGAGTCCTGGTCTGACCAAATTTGCTTACCCTCCATGTGAAATTTAATTATTTTTTAATGATTTAATTATTTTTTAGTGATAATGGAACTTACTTGGAAGTCTTTACATAATGGAATAAGTAAAGTTTGTATGTATAATTTAAGTACTTTGAAAACACTGTTAAATGTGTATGAATGAAAGTACTACGATTCTATTAACAGCCACTAGGAGGAGCAAGTAGGTGGTAATTTGTACAAATTTCTAAAATGATAATACAGGCACTAGTTTTTGATATTTTCTAATTTCTGACATTATGTAGTACTTTCAGAAGTTACATATCCCTCAAGTAAAAATTAGTCATTTTTTGAGATATGAAAACTTACTTAAGTTTGGTATTTTAAAACTATAGAATCCAGTCTTGTATTTATTTGAATTTATATACATGGATTTTAATTTTACTTTGTTCAAATGAAGACCAAGGCTGTTCATTGCACCATCTAGGCTGTGAGCTAAGCTGAAAATAATAGAGTTGATTGTTCTTATTTGAAAGTCACTTTTTCCTTATTGTTCTTGAAAATGGTCATTCTGTTTTGGCTGACAAATTCTTTGTAAGCTTTTATTCTCAAATGAAATATTTGGTAAATAGTATGATTTTTCTATTACTCCATATCACAGAAAGTAGTAGATAGAAAGTTTCTGTATGAAAAATATAAAGGAAAAAAAAAAGAAAAATATAAAGGAAACAAAATTGCATTTAAAATTTACTTGTATGTGAGAACTGAATTAATTGTATTTTCTGTTGATACAGTTAATACTTGGAATGTGGGAGGGCAGTCATTTTAATTCTTTAGAAGTGTAAACTTACTGGCTTAAGTAGTAATTGAAAGGTCAGATGTTTGAATAAAGTTTGTATAAATATGGGTTAAAGAAATGAGTAAAAGTAAATATAGTAATAGTGTTTTTATGAAAACTGTTTCTGAAAGTGATGTCAAGTATTTAAGTGTTAACAAAAAACAGCAAATTACTATATATTATTGTCTAGCAAAATACATAGTTTATGGTCCTATGTAATTTTGTAGCAAAAGGTGAAGATGCACCTTAATTTAAACTAATTATGTTTGTATGTTTGTTAATGTTAAGCTCTTACAGCTTGGAATCATATATACCCATTTGTTAACCTCCCTTTGATAAATAGAGTGCATGTGTCTAGCCTTAATTTTTTATTCAGTTTCACGGGTATTTTTTTTTTTTTTTGTTATAGAGAAAGTAAAACTAATGTAACCACTCCTTTTTTAAAAGATAAAATCCCTCTGTTTGATCCTAAAATGTGAGAGCAAAACAAGAAAGTTAAAGTATTTTGGTATTCAGAATAGTTTTGTACTTTAACATTTTCAGTATAGAAATAGCTTTGATTTATCTTTTAATTTTTTATGATGTTTTAAGCTTAATCATATGTATTTATATCTAAGGATTGACAAATCATGGGAAGAATGTTACTATAAAGTGTTCACTCAGTGATTTGATCATTTGGCTTTTGAAAGTGCTGCTGTCTTTGGTTTGTTGGAATTAGATTTAAGTGATGCATAAATTAAAAAAAAACTATACTTTTGTTTTGATAGCTACCTTACAAGAATATTTAATTGTTGATTAGTATGGAGAGATAAAAGCACTAAATAGATGGGATTTTTGAGCCACATATTTTTGTTTAATATTTTCATTCTTAGGAATTAGTAATTGTGGTATCACTTGATTTTTGAGGTATAAAATAGTAATAAGGCCTGATGAAGTTGTTAATCTTACTTTTAGAATAGAATGCTAAATGCCTTTTTTGATTATTAAATACAGGTTACTTAATTGTGGGATGAAATGGAGGAAAAATCAGAATTTTGCTAGATTTATAAGCATTTTTAGGAAGACCTTTGAGTTCCTGAGCCCTGAATTTTTATTATAGGATTGTTACTAAGATAGTTTATTAGATATATTTCTCTCTGGCACACAAACTGACACAGTGTCAGTAGTTTGTTACCACATCTTACTATAACATGGAAGCACAGAAGCAACATTTACATTTAGTTTTTTGACCTTGTATCACTGTTAATGGATGTTTTTATTAAAGCATTCTCATTATGTTTTCGGTTTAAAAATGATGTTCAAAATATTTTTATTCGATCATTTAGAATCCTTGCTTAAAATAGAGCTATTTCAAATGGGGGAATTTCTTAGCAACTATTGATAGCTCTTTGTTTAAAGTTGTATTCATGGGTACTGTAATAACATGAAAGTATACTGTGGCGTGCTGTTTATAAACTAACATTTTCTTAGGTAATTGTATGCAAGTTCTTTTTTTTTGTAGCTTAAAATTTATGGATATTCTCTTGGGCTGTGTTCCTTTTATTTGAGGAGATGGCTATTAGAGGGAAGATTCTGTTACTATGAGCTGGTACATACTAAGATATTTTTTGAAAGGACTTTGACAACAGCTCTTAATGTTAAGATTGTCTTTGATACTATTCAGTGTGATTCCACCGCACTGTGTCTTTAGAAAGCCATTTTAAAGAGAACACTTAATTTGCTAGATGAGGACTCAGTTTGACCTAATTTGATATAAGATTGCTATGTTTTCTCTAGAGGGCTACAGATTTTAACTTTAATTTCTCAGAGGTTCTTTTAAGCACATCTTGTTACTGTTTGCCTTCTTTCATACATGTCTGTAATTCATAATTACTTCAAGCTGCATGTTTACTTGAATAAAGCAATGATAGCTTACCTTCTAAACAATGACAAATTTAAAATCGTATATTTAAAATTCCTTTATAGTTTCAAGGGCAGAGAACTGTATGAACTTATATATTAGTGCCTTCAGGGTTATAAAAAAAATAACAGACATTTAAATGAATATCACACACAAGATCAACATACCTTCCTTGATCAGGCCATTTATGTGCAGAGGATTATGCCCACTGAAAATACTTTTGGCACGCCATCACTTCAGCAAAAAAGATGCTATCGAACATGCGCACATCCCCCAATAGTCTGCCTCCTGCGATTGCTTTTCACAGTATCCAAAGTGTCCATCTGTCTGCTTGCCTTCGAGTTACCTTTCTTGTTCATATGTGTCCTAGTCTTCAGGGTTTTCCCCTTTCATTTTCTTTCTCTTTCTTTAAACAAAAGAGCTGTAGTTGTCCGTTCTGTTTGGAGCACTGTTGACTCTTTCCGACAGTTGATGCATTGAAGCTTTTTACATCTGCTGTTTTCCTGGCCGGACAATGCAGTGCTGTATTCTCTTCGCAGTATCCATATTTCTAGTAATAACACTGAGCTGCAATGTAAAGCAGTCAGTGCTAGAATGTAGTGCTTCGATTGTATTGGAAAAGAATAGGATTTAACTCTTTTTCATTGTTGCCTGGCAGCTGCAGGAAGGATTTTGATCAGTTTACTGGGGTTTTAGTCTATAATATGAAATCCACGGTTCCTCAGCTGCTTCACAGGCAGGCAGCAGTTTAAATGTGGGCTTGACAGATGCTCTCTCTGACAGAGCAGAATTTAACGTCACTGCTTGGCTGAATCCCACGTGATTGTTTGCATTCATTTCAACTAAAAAGCTAAGGGAGGGAGGGAGAAGCTTAGCGATTTTGCTTCTATATGAAAGATTTTCTACATACACACACACACACATATTCAGTACAAGTGTAGTTATAAGTAACTGAAAAAAGAGATAATGAAGTAAATGTTTTTTTCTAACTTGTTTCCTTTTTTACTTTTGCTTAAGCACAGGCTTTATATTTTTATTGTTGGATGTTTGATTTCCTATTTCTTAAATGTTTTTATAGGACATAAGCAATGTACGCTTTCATATGAAACTTGATAAAATTTAACCCTTTCAGTACACTATTCCATTAAAGGGTTTTTTCCCCTCACGTTTCTCCTGTTCTATGAGTGTCTTGTTAACATTGTATTATAGACTATTTATCTTTTACTGTAACTTAGTACCCACTATTCTTTTCTAGGGTTTAGATAAATCAGTTGCCACAGATCACTTTACTGAAATTGATGTGATGCAGCCCAGTTACTTGCTTTTATGTGGTTTCAAGTGTTCTAGAAAGCAACAAAACTTTTATTTTTAACATCAGTATTTATTTTAGTTTTCCTTTTCTTTAAAACTACATTAAAGTAGAATTCCACAAAATAATGTAGTATATAAAGGGCATTTGTACAGAATCTTCTTGGTAGATAGTAAAGTGTTACTTCATATTTTGGAATGGTTAGATAAGTTGGTATAAAGCAGGATTTTCAGGACTAGGTACTACTCTTTGTATGGTTAGTTAATGGCTGGTTCTTTTTTCTGCAGAGCACAGGGACATGGCGTTTGTTGTTTTGCTTGCTTTTTGCATTTTCACAGCTTGAAATACCAGTTTTTTTTGAGACCTTAGAAACATTAACTCATAGAAATTTATAGTTAGGAACTTTAACATTGTAATTGTACTCAGAAACTCTTCATTCTGTCTTAACTGTTACTATTTCAAGTATAGATTTACATATTTTAATTTTTAATATTTAAATTATTTTTGTCCTGATTATAATTTTTAGTAATGAATTGTACTTTAGTTTTAGGAATCCAGTGACTTTAGGAGTATATGTGACATTCCTGTATAATTGGGACAGATAGAGCATAGAGTTGACTTTCCCTAGTTAAGTGTGGAGAGGATGAAAACTAAAATTTCTTGGCATTTAATCACTATGCCCACCCATATTTACTACATGCCTACGACCCTTTCAAATTTTTTCCTGTTATTTAAAAGATCAAGCTAAATAGAAGAGAATGCTTAAGTGCCTATTTAAAATGACATTTTACAAATTAGAAGTGAATTTTACTAGATTAGTAGTTATCAGTAACTTCTTATAGACTTAATGATGCAGGTTGGCAGCAGTTCCCGTTGGTTATTTATTTGTCCATTTGTCCAGAGTTAGATTGTGTGCTAAGCCTGCCTGGATTGTTGTATAAATGACTTTTTTTTTTCTCATAATAGGTTTTTGTTTTTGTTTTTGTTTTTGTAATAACCATTGTAAAGATGAGTAACTAATGCTTAGGTTTGTAAAATAATTATCCCAAATACCAGCTAATTAGTGATGAGAAAGAATCCTTGGGAATTAAAGGAATTAAAGCAAGATAAACCTTACGTCTTTCTTAGCCATTATGCTACAAGGCACACTGGAGAAATGATGGGAATTTTTTCTAGTACAGGTACAGTATAACCAGAACTCCATCATAGAAACATAAATGAATATATTTTTTACTCACTTGTTCAACAGATATATATTGACTCACTACTGTGTTCCAACTTTGCAGTTAGACACATTTTTTTTTAAGGATTAAAAAAAAATGGTTCAAAATATAATCCAGAGACATGGTATAGGGTGGAAAGGGAATAGGATAAAAACTGGGGTGGGAAGAGGGCATGGGACTATGGCAATGGCAAAAGGGTAGGAAACCCCTAGGGACTACAGCCGAGATGGAAAAATGTACAAAATGCAGAATAATGTGAAAAATAAATGGGGGGGGAGGAAGAATAATTAACCTGAGCTGTTTTAATAATTTTTTTTTTCAATGTTAAAAAACAAAACAAAACAAAAATGGTTCAGAACTCATACACTTTCTCTAGGAAGAATACATCATTTACTTTTGCCAGTTCTTTAGACTGAATTTTTTTCATTACCCACTGTATTATTAAGGCTCTTGATTGTTAAGAGAGCTCCATAGGTATGTGTTGAGGGCAGAAATAACTCTTAATAATTAAACTATATTAACAATAATAGAATTAAAAACTCAGGTCTCTAGAATTGAAAGGTATTCCTAAAATGTTTATAAAGCTATCAAAGATCCTGATTTTCCCTCCTTTTCATCCCACAATTTAGTAACCTGTTGTTTATTAATCCAGAAAGGCTAACATTTTCAAGACATATGTAATCATTCCATTCTAAAATTCGTTCTACAACTTTGACAGGCATCATTAGTATTACTACATTCCAAATCAAGTGATACCATAAATTTTTACTCCAGAGAATGAAGATGGTAGAAAATATATGGCTTAAAAATATATTCTGGTTATGGGGAATGAGATCAAAAACAGTGGGGGGAGGGAAATGCACTGGACTATGGTGATAGCACATGAGTGATTTGGTGATAGGAAGCCCACGGGGATTGCAACTGAGATGAAAAAATGCACAAAAATATGTAAAAATAAACTATTATAAAATTAAAAAAATTTTCCTGTAGTGTTGGTTGAAACTCCTTTTGGATTGTAGTTTCAACTATGCTTGCTATAGGGCAAATGTTTACACAGCAGTAGAGAGCTGAAATAAAAAAAAGATGCCTGTGATTTGTAATTGGGTTTTAAAGTTTCAGGTATTCTTGTGGACTACTTTTTTTTTTTTTAAGTTTTTTGGACTGGTTAATAGCTTTATTTAGTAAATTACAGGAAAACAGTAAAGACAAGTTAATTATTAGCAACCTGCATGCCAGCCATAAGTAACTATAAAAATTTTTTGACAGGCAAGTTGCAGTTCTTCCTTCACTTGTGTTAACTTTTAACATCTGAAATGAACAAAGTACATGTGACAAGTTTCTTTGTCAGTCTCAAAAAAATGGAAGTTAATTTGTTAAGTTTTTTGGTTATAAAGGTGTGTAATTTTTATTTGCATGGATCTGCTTTTTAAAAAAATATATATTTATGTGTACAAGAACTGGGATACTAGCCAGAGGTGCAGGGGAGAAGTGTGGGGAGAACACTTAACCCGTGGCAGCTGCTTTCCATTCAGTGAGAAGGAGCAGAAATCCTTGAGTAATGTGAAAGCTGAAGTAACAGTCTGGTTTTCCCTACATTGATCTTCATCCAATTTATGTTTTAGGATTCAAGCTACTTCTTTCAGGTAGTGTTTACCTATATTAACTATCTTTTCCACAGCTGGTGAAAACATAATGCTTTGGATTAGGTCTGATTTTCACCATACTGCTCTGAAAAAATGTCATTTGACAGTTATTTAGAAACCAATTTAAGTTTTATTGAGACCAGCAATTTTGCATAGTAATTTTTGCTTGGAGTTTATGTCTCTTGGCTGTAAAAAGAATGGTATATTTGTGACTAATATTAGCAAGCAGTTTCCAATTTGAAGAAAAAATGTGTTTATCAAGAGTTCAGAGTTTTTCTCTGAAGTTTTAAGTGATGTGACTAACTTTTACTTTTCTTGTAACTCAGAAAACAAGAATTAGGCCAGTTGTAAATTAGCAATCTCATAGTGACCACAAGTGTCAGCGTTTGCTTTCCTTATTCTTTTCCTTCAGATTTTCAAAATTGTGCAGAACTTGCTCATAGTGTTTGAGAATTTCTTTTGATTCAAAAGAACAGTTAAAAATGTCATTTTCACAACTGTAGGCACCTTTATTTTAATTTATACAAAATATTAATAACCATAAAGGAAAATAAATATTTGAAATCAGTAATAATTGCAAATGCTCTAGTATGCTTGTATGTTCTTTGGTGTTCTTGTAATATGGATGTTCCAGTTTGGCACACCTTCTGGAGTCTTCCCGTTGTTACTGGGTGCCTACAGGGACACACGGTAGAACTTTGACTTTTGGGACTGGGGGTAGTAATACTTTCTAGGAGGTTCCTAAAAGTTTGCATATATTTTGGTTCTTGAAATAGTTGAAGATATCTAGTGATAGGACCAGCGAAAGTAGCCTGTTGTTTGGGGCTGTTTTTGAAAACTAAGAGTAACTAGTTTCATATTCTACAAGATTTCTGATGTTCCTTCGAGTATCAGTATATGGGCAGAAGTTCTTTGTAAATTAGGTGAACCTAAAACACATAACAAAGTATATTTGTAAGACTTTAGCAAGCACTGAATATGCACCGAGATGTTAACTCTACTGTCTATCAAGGGACGATTATACTTGATGAGCTTTTCTAGTGGCTTACAATTTTAAAGTCACAGTAATTTACTCACCAACACAATGTCCCAGTCAGTGGGCAATTGTAATGATTAATTCACTGCGGCTCTTTGCATAGGTACTAGCATCTGCTTGCTTAATCAGATATTGAAATACATATTATTTATCATAAATTTCCTTTCAAAACTTGAATTTTCTACTTTTTAGGATGATTACCATTTTAAAAATCATTCTGGGTTGGCTATATTGTCTGTACATTTCAGGTGGTTAGATGATTATTCTAAAATGTCTCAGATGTAAAAAGGGTTTTATTGATAGAGCTATTAGACCCCACTAGGTGAGGATCTTTGAATAAATTATGTCAGATGCTTTTACCCATACTTCTGCTTCCCTGTATATTTATAGTATTTGAAAATTTTAGCACAATTCATGAGTAAGAGTGGCAAGCATTTTTAAATGCAGGTAGATCTACTGTGTTGAAATCTAAAAATATTATAGGAACATGCCTACCCAATTATTAGTATCAGAAAGTATATTTTATTTAATAGCTTTTGTAGATA